CAGTGCAGAAATGGCTAAATATGTGAAAGTGGTATCCTTGTGCTGTGTTCTGTTCTCTACAGGACAAGTTCTGACTCGTGCACCAAATATTGTCGTTTTTCGTCATGAGGTTGGTCTCTCTGTAAGGGCACGCAGCAGTAGTGTTATGCAACTCACATGTCCGCTTTGAGGTGGAAAACCCATATATTCTCTTATGACAATCCGAACTGTTCCCATGTGCTCATCAATGTTTTTTGGGAGCATGCCAAGAACTTGTGTCTTTTGATATGCCTTGTGTCTGTGCTCAGTTTCATATCTATCATCAGTGACGGCAAAACATCCCTATCATCAGTTTCATAGCTATCATCATGTGGAAGTACTTATAATGTGACGAGAAGAACAGAAAAAGAATGCCCCTTCAGTGCGTGCTCATTCTCTTCTGCTGTGCTTTGGCTGCTTGTGCATCCTCGTGCTGTCAGGGCGAGCTCTAACTCGGCGCAGAGCTTCCACTGTACTATTGCCTACATTGTCACAGGCTACAGAGTGCAACGATATCAACATTGTAGACGTAATTCATTTAGCACGAGTGAGGTGATCCACGAAGCCACGTGCTTATACCTACAACTTTAATATTGTAGTATACAAAGTATGAACTGAAGCCTAGCATACACAGCATGGCCTATAAAGTGTTACATACTTTTCGGTGTCACCGATGATGACGTTAATTCCACAGAGAGTCGGGGAATCGTTCCGGATCACATTGAAAACAGTCTCGACAAGTGGTGTCAGCTGATGGGGGTTGGGACCAGCACCTATGAATTGAAGTACACTTATTTTATTTACTAGGATGTTAGCACAATTAAAGGTGTGGGGGGGGGGGGGGCAGGTGTTCATTATTCAACATAGTATCAATGTGCACGTGAACAGAAACCGAGTAAACATGTAATTGGCAATATTGATCAGATTCTTTTCTTACCTTCTGTTTTCCTTTTCATCCTCAGGTTCCTATACCCGGTCTCAGGTAATATGTGACGTTGGGCAATCTATTTCTTCTTTTCTTCTTTATTTGACAGCAAACTCACTGGCGCCAGCTCTCGGCTAGCCCTGGCCCACTACGTGCCTGAATCGGTGGCGTCGGAAGTGTTTGAAATCTAGAGGGGCGACAGGGGCCACCGAGCTTAACCCTGCCCCCTTTTGCAGCATTGTTTACCACAGCTGTCTGAAATTTCAAGGGAGGGGGGGGCGGGAGGCGTCTGTAGCCCCCTGCCCTTGTTTCCACGCTACTTGCCTACATATATTTTTCTTCTGTGTTTATTTGAACAATAGTGTTTACATTGTTTACAGTGGCAAAGACAACGTTTTTGGCAAGCAAAATTTTGACATTAATTTTGAGAAATTACAAAGGCCGACTGCGTGGAACAGGATCCAAGGTGCTTTGGGGCTATTTCTGTGTAAGTACCACTGTGTTGAAACTCGTGCAAGGAAGAGCTAGGCAACCTTCAAGCTTGTCCTCTGATGATATTGAGCGAAATGTTAGTTGTCGCACATTGATTGCGGTCTTCGGTTGAGATATTTGCCCCAAAAATTTGAGGGCCTAATATATCACTCTCCAATAAATTTGTACAATGCACCCTAAGTTTCCAATAAAGATTTTGCAAATATTGCCTTTTTTTTCAGTTTTGGTAGCGCAAATATTGGAACTTACCTGTCCGTTGGTCATGTTCTTTGTACAATCTGTACAAAGTTCGGCACTTTTTAAATAATTTTCTCCATGCTTCTTGAAGTTGCTTCACTGAACGCGGGAATTTGGTGGCGGCGGGTCATGGAATTGGCGACTTGGTTCCAGGCGCGTCTTTTGGTTTTAGTAGTCACGGTAGGGCCGAATTTTCCCAGGATTTGATATTTTTGAGCCTCAACTCCCCAGACTAATTCCAATTTTTCATCCAGGGTCCAATTCTTTTGAGGCAGCGGAGCGGTCCCCTATGAGGTAGTTGCCCGGTTCATTTTCGTTTGCAAAAGGAGCATGATCGTCTGCTACCTTGGCTTATTTATCTACACAATCGCAACAACATTCCTGCTAACCGTAAAATAGTTTTTCAGAAACAACGCGAAATAACAAACAAGTGCTATACACAACTCAAATATTGTTTATGTCTGGTTCTACAACTTTCGCCGACGGCACAACAGAGTAGATTCGGAAAAACTGCACGTACCTGCTTTCTTGGAGGGCGAGTGAATTGAATGATCGGCTGGTCCCTGGTCTTTTTGGACAACGTAGCATTTGACTAAATCCAAAAAAAGTTCTGCAAATCATCACCAATAAAATCTATCGGACCGTTGAACCGCTGTCCGCCGTTCATCCGCAGAACAGTTGATGCTGCAGTCGCACTGTAAGCACAATACGAAGATTTTGTACAAAATGGACACCCTGAACAGAAATTTTCCCGGCGTGACTACTTTCGATAAACCGCAATCGCTGCTCAAAAGGCACCTCTCCGTAACTCTTGCTTTCAATAAACCTATTCTGATCCTGGTCCTGCTTGAAGTTAGTTCCATAGCGCTCAACGTAACGTGAGTATGAGGCTGGCCTCATCTCAACCCTATCGCGAAATGTTTTCGTACTCACCTTATAACACTTGTCGTACTCGGCTATCGTGTTCCTTGGAACACGTTCCACATTTTGGCGCGGCGATGCATGATTCGTGCCGTGCTTCAATGAAGCCGATGCGAAGCTTCGACAAATCGGTGACTCCGAGCCACTGTACTCCGAGCCACTGTTTATCGACCGGCTGCTGCCGTCGACTTCAGTCGCAGTCCCCTCGAATAGTCAGTTTTTTTAAGGCGCATGTAGTGTACTTGTACACTCTTCACTTAGAACACGCAACCTAAATCATCGCTCTGAAGACAAACACCAATGCGATCGCGAACGTGGAAACTGCGTACGCTGCAACTATTTTATTGTCAAACGACGCGACGGGGCTATGCGCAGCTCCCCAGATCCCTACCGAGCCAGTCACGTGACTTAAAAATCTCTATCCTGGGTTCTGCGGCTGACTTTAGCCGCGGTTAGCGCTTCGAGCAAACAGGCCCAGGAAGCTAGATTCCAACATAACGATCAAGTGGCTAAGCGGACACAACGATATCCCGGGGAACGAGAGGGCTCTCTGGGCCCGTTTGCTCGAAGCACTAACCGCGGCTAAAGTTAGCCGCAGTACCTAGGAGAGGGATTTTGAGATAGCGTGACTGGCTCGGTAGGGATGCGGGGAAACATGGCGGTGCCCCGGTGAGTGAGCGCCGCCCGCTTTGGAACTAATATGTTGTTGTAGCTGCAATATCGGGCGCGTTAGTCAGCAACGAATGGTGCAGGAGGCTTTCGCTTTGCCCTACCTCACTTAAACCGCAAAGCATGGGCAATGACATCGCCGCATTTTTAAGATAGTGTTTCGATTCTGGGCACTCCTAAGCCTAAATGAACACGATAATTGTCGGCATAGCAACGATGACGATGCGGATGCCGGTGACGTCATCAGTGACCTCACTGATGGCGTCACCGGCATCCGCATCGTCATCGTCATCATCAGGAATGACGTCACCAGTGACGTCACTGATGACGTCACCGGCATCCGCATCGTCATCATCATCATCACGGATGACGTCATCAGTGACGTCACTGATGACGTCACCGACATCCGAATTGTCATCATCGCTGATGACGTCATCGGAGTCTGCATCGTCAACGTCACTGATGACGTCATCAGTGACGTCACTGACGACATCATCGGCATCGTCACGTGACCCCCCAAGGTCACGTGACCCCCCCAGGTCACTTCACCCCCCCCCCCAGTACCCTTCCCTCCTCCTCCTCAAGAGCTGCGCTCTAATTCGGTGTTACAGGGAGTTGTAAACGGCTTTCACTTTTTTGTTTCCTCTTATTTCGTTTATTTCATTTCATCATTACCATAGCAGGCCAGGTTATTGCCACATTAGATTCAACTGTGTACTTTTCTAAAGCATCGGCGTTTGTAGAGGATCGTCAACTACCGTTTCAGTTGCTCGGCATCTCGGTAAGACAAGAGAAGGTCAGCAATGGCGGCTGTAATTTGGCGCGTGTGTAAAGCGTCTATACGGTTCAAAATATTTACATTTGTTTACCTTTATTTTTATATCTTCGTTTTAGTCTACTCTGTTTTAGTTTTATTAGTCTAACAAGCTACTTTCTTAGAAAGCCCCGGCTAGAAATATAATTATTCCTTATTTTTTTACCACCAGCCACTTCCTTCACCATGTTCTTTCTCGCTCTATATAAAATCGTCAGTTGTGAGTTAGGGCCTGTCCTGTCCACTTCTTCGTGTGTCCTTGTCTTAGCGCCATTTGTAATTTAGTATCCTCCCTTGTTTTTGTGCTAAATGTAACTAGATGCATTCTCAACTAGACCACCAGATGCTTTTATTACAATTTTTTGCATTCCCTGACGCCTTCCATGGCTGGCAGTTTGCTCCCGAAAAAAATTCTTCCTTTCCTTGAAACAACATATTTCTAGGTACGTTTGAAAGTCTTCGCTAAAACACCCTGTATAATAAGAAAAAGCTGGAATTAATCCTCGGAACAAGGCTCCGAATATGCCACCAGAACTCCAAAATATCGGATGTTTGACATTTTGTTATTTCTGGAACGAAATATAAAAAAGTGAAGTAATTCAGACAAAAAATGGGACGTGCAACAGTCATTTCTAAGAAATGTTACTGCGAGGGTTATCGTTTTTCATTATTCCTTACAACCGACAGATCTTTGTACATTAATCCTTGATCGGCCTTATAATGTTTGTGAAGATGATAAAAACAACTCGTTTAAGCTTTTGTATAGCTCGTCTGGCCATATCAAACGTGGAAATATTCGGGATATGTATAAGCGAAAAACTAAACTACCTATCCCGACACCTGTTCTCGATTTCAAGTGAAACTAATTCAGCGGATCATCGGACGGCGAACGTGCAAGCCTCATCCGCTTGCTCACATGTGGCTACCGAGCCTCCCGCAAACAAGCATGTGGTCTGACGTTGCATGACTTATTTTTGTAGAGTTGCAACCCGTGATCCCATCTAGCGTTCAGTTAATTTCAGACCCGCTGGCAGTGACACAGCCATTAAGCATCTCTGGTCATTTCTGCCTTGAGTCTGTCACGATGGAAAACACCGAACCCGCCAAAAAGACGCTGATGCCAGAGTTGTACACTAACGCAACTACTGCGAAATGGTTTTCTGTATCAGCCGATATACTGCGCTCCGTTCAAGGGTCGTTTCCGAGAGGCCCCACCGAGGACCAGCAGTTTCTGGACCTGGGTTGCGGCCCCGGGAACATCACGCGCGACGTGCTCCTGCCCCAATGTCCACCTTGCCGAAGGTTTGTCGCCGTCGACTCGTCCGAAGACATGGTGAGGTATGCGAGGGAGCATTTTTACCACCCAAAGATCTGCTACGACACCCTCGACATTATGTCGGACGACCCATCTGACTTTGTGGGGCGGTACGGGCTCTTCGACCGGGTCTACGCGCTCCTCCTCCTCAACTGGCTGAAGGACCAGGAGCAGGCGCTCAAGAACATCGCCAAGCTGATGAAGCCGGGAGGAGAGGCATTTTTTAGTTTCAGCGCCAGCACCCCGCAGATGAGATTTCGTAAGAAGTTGGCCGGAATGCCGCGCTGGAGCAAGTACGCAAAGGTAAACTCGGATAAAAAATATAGGGCTCTATCGCTGTGGTGATTGGCTCACGACTACTTCATATGTGAAACGTCAAAATGCTATAGCACTTCGACGTTTCAACTATGAAGGCCATATTCAGCTTATTAATGCAAAAGCGATAAATGTAACATGGAGTGAAGCCGGCGAAAAACGGCACATAAATTCCCATTGGCTGAGCGTAACGCCACTTAAATTCCCATTGGCGGCGATACGTCGTGTGGCCCCATAACAACGACGTCATAGTTGCTAAGGAGACAGCCGAACTGCTGGCGGCGCGGCGGGAGAGGGGGGAGGATGGGTACGCGAGTATACGCTGGGGCCTGACTTTAGTCCTAAAGTTACGCCTAACCTTACGCTCTGAGGTCTTACGTCGTCAACCGGTACGCGCAGCTGTTTGACGAGAGGGGGGACGCGAGTACGCGCTGACCTGACGTTAGGCTTAACGTTACGCTTTGAGGTCTAACGTCGTCAACCTGTACCCGCAGCTTTGGCGGTGATGATGATAAGAGGGCACGTGATTGCAGCACGTGCCGCGCCGAGCTTCACACTCTCGCCGCTCCTCACGCAGCGGTGCAGAAGTCACCAGCAAGCCACGGATGCTTTTGCATTCAAAACTCATAAGAAGTGCTTAGGTTTCCTCGGAACGTTTTTTTACCTTGAGATGAACATCGACACCTCCCTCAGCGCTTGGTTGTAAGAGTATGGACCCACCTAGCTTCTGGTGCCTTAGCCTGTTCTCTCTATCCCAAAATTTCATTAGCAAACTCTCACGCTGAGTCTTAGTGGGCCGCCACTTCTGTTCAGCGATACCCTCTTCCGCCGGGGCGTCTTACTGGAGAGGCATTGTGAACGAGGCCAGAGCACAGCATAAAACGTGAGGGCATCTTTCAGATGTATTTCTGAAAGCAGGTCCATCGGATCCAGTTAGGTGTGGTACTAACGAAGCGTAGCGGCGTCAGCCTGGCTGTTTTTACCGTTTTCCTACCTTTGCCTAGAAAAACAAAAGGCCCCCTTGTGAAATGGTTTAATTCACTCCGTTTATTGGTTCATTTATACGAATTTGTTAAGACACCGGCCATGTATGTAGGTAGTTGATTGAGACGCTTGACACCAGGTTCGCGGTTGTTATTCACGACGATGTGGAGCGAGATGAGCAAGTGCCATCGAGGCGATTGACTCCGTTAAAGTGAAAGATAGACGACTGAGAGAGGATATTCACTTTAGCAAAAATAATTAAAACCTTTCTGTTAACAATATTAATATATCTTTATTACACCATTCCCAATCGGAAAACGGCTAAGACTTCTGTGCGGAATTTGGGGAGTTTTATTTATTTATATACTTGTGTACAAACTATATATATCTATAGATCAGTTTCCCTGCTACATCTAGCGGAAAATTGTATGTCACGTGACCTGACGTCGCAGGCCATAGACCAAATAGTTGCGTCCGCAAAATTTAGTGGAAAATGTGACGTCACACGACCTATACACCAATTAAGTCCCCGCTGGCAGAAAACTGACACTCACATGACCTACACACAAATATAGTTTCCCCGCTAACTTTAGCGAAAAAATTGACGTCGCATGACCTGTACACAAATTCAGTTTCCCCGCTAAACTTAGTGGAAATATTCATGTCACCTGACCTATGTATGAACTAAACATAATGATGGACCGCGTAACAATAGACAGAGCAGACGAGGTAAGAAGAAGACGGAAGAGAAGCGCGTATTTGATGAAATGTATTGCGTGAAGAAAAGGAAGGTGAAGCAAGCTGACAGAGACACCTGCACGTGGGCATACAAGTCAGTCCCGCCCAAATGACCGCAACAAGGCTACTTCTTTTTCGCCAAGTGGAACCTACGGCTGACTGAGGCAGTTATCGCCTAAACCCATAATGGTATAGGCCTCAAGTACCTCGCGTGTTTTGTTTTTCTTCGTACTATCCAATAATTGAGTTTTTTTCCGAACAATGGAGAACACGTACACCACTTACAATGCACAGAAATGTAGCCTCCTACAGATGAAGTTAAGGAGAGATTGTGCACATGTAGCCTCTCATTAAGACACCGGCCAGTTTGTCCCACGTAGCACCGTCCACAGGGAAGCGCGATATTGTACACAACACCCGATGCACAAGGAACAAAAGGGCGCACATTTTTTTTGTTGCAGGTATGACGTGGCATGTTATTCAATTTTGCCTTTCCTCTAGGACAACTTTGTCACAATTCTTTAGGGGCTGAGCGTGCTAGGGGCACACTATACCTATTTGCAACTTGTTTTAGATTATGTGAAATCTTGTGTGGATATGATATAACCCCCGGCCGCTGTATCTCAACATTTGGCTTATTTCGGGCACACCCTTTTGCTTTTTTACCACTTTTCCGATTATTTCCGTTATGACTTAAATCGAAAACCCTGAACATTTAAGTCGCCCGATTTGGGCCAAGAAGCTGCCAGGTATGGCATACTGACATGATTTTTTTAGACCTAAACAGAGGCAGGCGGTGGCTATGCCCCTCTTCACAAACTTGCAATACGAGGCAGAAAGCACCGCTTGGTTCTGCGAGCTGGTTTCCAGATGGTTCACTTTGACGTCGGCAAGACATCGTGTCGTGGCCCTCAGCCACCTTGACCTCCAGCAGTATCAGACTGCCATTCGCACGTTTGCTCTGGCTGCACGGACATTCAGGCGAATGAAGATGGGTGTCACGGCCCACTGAAAGCCTTTGCAAGCAGGGGTCAAATCTTCAACAAAAGTTTTCTATCAACTCCAAAGAGATCTGCTCAATGAGAATGGTTACACGTGCCTGCTCGCGGGTCGGCTGACTCAGGACTGCCTTAAGAACGTGTTTTCTGTCCTATGCTTAAGAAACCTGTGCCAAGTGACTTAGAATTCTAGTGCGCTCTTCACATGATCTCTGTTAGTCAGTTCGTCCACACGCCCGAAACGTCTGGCTACACTGTAGATAAGGGGGATATTTTGCTGACCTCTTTTCAACAAGTAGAAGGGCTCCACTGCAAGAACCTACAGCTGCGGAGGAGGGCACCATGGACGACTTCCTTGTCATGACGAAAAAGTAGGAAGGTCACATTTTGGCATATGTAGGCAGATTTCTCGTCCGTGCCGTGATGGGAACCATGAACTGCAACACATGTAAGGGAGCCCTCACGTCAGACTCTAACGGTGAATACAGTGCCCTCATCAGACTGAAGGAATATGTGCGAGGAAGTGAGGACTTGACCTACCCTAGCCATGCAGTCATGCAGTTTCTCACTGCATGTGGAGAGCAGTTCAAGGGCCTCACGTGCACGACAGAAATCTTGAGCCTTGCTTCACCATTCAAGACCTTTGCGGCTGTTCTTAGGAAAAACAGCTCACTCGTGTCCAAAGCGTGCTCCGCACCCAAAGGCAACGTGGAGAGGCTGCTTCTTGACAAGTGCCTGCACTTCCGTCTGAGAATTCACCTAAAACCAGCTCGCCTCAAAAAAACGTGCAAATGGCCACTCTAGCAATACGTGCGCTGCAGTCAACTTGTTGTAAACCCCACAGCTGAGGAGAGTACTTGCTGAAAGGCAACTCGGTTAACCCCACATGTGCTTATGTTACCAGATACATTGTAAATGATTAAAGATACACTTTTTGCTTTGAAAATTGCTATGTTGGCAGAAAAGACTCTGTAGCAGATACAAACTAGTTAAGAGGCAGTAAGCCACTAGATTTTCACTGCTTCTGAAAATGTAAGGGTTTGTCACATAGAAAATAAGGAAAAATATAAGAAAGAAACATGGCTGTGCCTCTTTACTTAGAGGACTGAGGGCACGAATTTGTTTGGAGAGCCTGTTCTCTATTATCTGCACCAAGAAACCATTGCCGAACACGTGATTTTTTGTGGGCTCTGAAGCGAACGTCCATAGAGGCGTTATCTACAAGATCCCCTGCACTGACTGTCCAGTGTCCTACATCTTCTGCGTAGACCAGCTCCTCCACACTGCTAAAACCTTTGGCTATGTCGATGACACGCAGCCCTTTCACCAGACAATAAACTTTTGAAGGCACATTTTTTAACAGGAGCCAATGATGAGGAGCAGCAGGAACCTCGGAAACCATAAACATGTGAAGTAAACGATTCTAACAAAGAATCTTGACGAGCAGGAATAAACACACAATGCAAGAATACCCCTAAAGACGGAAGACGTCATAATGAAAATAAGAAAACTGACTTGACATAACAACAAAAAAAAAATTGCATTAGGCGCTTTCCCTACCATGCGGCAGACATCTTCAGTAGTTACAAAGCGAACGCAAGGTTCAACCTCAAGTCAATGTGATTTATCACGAATGTCCCATAAGCTTCGTGGAGAGGGCCTCGGTTTTTGTTACACACGGATGTGTCCCTGCGGACAAACCACAATTCTAAGAGTTACCGGGGCCCGCACCTGTCCTCCCTCGCCAAGGTCGTCACGGCCGCAAAGTTTCCAAATCAAAGAACCCAACCCCGGCGAACGTCCAGAGAGGCGTTATCTACAAGATCCCCTGCACTGACTGTCCAGTGTCCTACATTGCTGAAACCGGACGGAGGAGAGAAACCAGTTTCAAAGAACACAAGCGTGACGTCACTTGAGCATCTCACACGACGCGACTGAAGACTGAACTTGTGAACGATGCGTGGAAAACGTGGCATTCTTTCTACTTTGCGGCCGCGACGACCTTGGCCAGGGAGGGTAGATGGGGGCACCAGAAATGCCTAGAATCGTGGTTGGTCCACAAGGACACATTCGTGTGTAACAAAAACCGCGGCCCTCTCCACGAAGCTTATACGGACATTCCTGAGAAATAGCATTGACTTGAGGTCGAACCTTGCATTTCCTTTGTAACTACTGAAGAAACCTCCCGCTTTGGAGGCATCTTGTTTTAGAGTAAACAAGAAGCAAACATTTGACTCCCTGAAAAGCTCGAATCCAATAACTACAGAA